AGGCGCAGCGGGGTGAAACCAGCAGGGATGGTGGCCTGCGAGAGGGGGCCTTCCCAGTGCTCAGGCAGGAAACGGCTCACAAAAGGGACAGAACTGCTGCAGACAGAGGCTTATGTGCTGTTTCTACGTCCCTCCCCCAGAGCTCTGTGATTGGAAGGGACTCGGGGAAAGATCGCAGTCACTGGCCAGCTACAGATGTCAGTCTTCTCCCTCCCTTTCTCAGTTTCTGTTCCTCTCCGAATCTCTGAATCTTTTTCGGAATCTTTTCCAAATTGATTTGGAGGTTTTTTTGGGTCTCCTGATTAGATTTGGATTTGGTGATTTGGCCTCCGAATTGGGCCAGATCTTCAAGTTGAATTGGCGACTGAAGCTTTGCGTGGCCCTGTAACACCCCTCTGCCCTCCCTTTTCCCAACCAGCCTTCAAGCTTTCATCATTAAGGACCTAGTAGCACCTCTTCCCTATCACAGCCAACACTTAGCAGGGTGTTTTACTTGCACACAATAGGAATCTCATAGAAGGGAGGGAATTTGTTTGGAAGGAGAGGGATCAGGGAATGACAGAGGAAAAGCACATAAACAAAAGCATCTCATAGGAAGGGGTGGACAGAGTCTGGCTCACCAGCTGGACCGGGCACGCTTTCAGTGGACTCCATTTTTCAGCTGCCACTGTCAGATCCAGTCCTGCTGCCCGGACCCCCTGTACCCACCACCAGGGTCAAGACCGGCACGGGCAGGGTGCATGGCTGGGAATGAGTTGGGCAGGTGGGGCTGGGGAGACCCCAGGATCTTGGGGTGGTGACAGCACAGGGCTGGGGACAGTGCAGAGCCACTATCTGCTGCTTGCACGCCGCTGTGACCAGCGCGGGTTCTGCGGGCAGGGGCCTGTGGGGAGCAGATTGCGGCTCTGCCCTGTGCCCACACTGTCACCGCCCCAAGATCCCAGCCCCAGAGCAGCTCTCTGCCCAGCTGCATACCCGCCCGCGCGGCTTCTGGTTGGTCTGGGAATGCTGGGAAATGGAGTTCAGCTGCCAGCCAGATCTACCATTTTGCCCACCCTTGTCATAAGGTGTTTTAGGAGTGTGGCTAATGTGGCTGCTCCTGGCCCCCTTCCCGTAACCGTTTGCATGGGTCTTCCCTGCTCTGCTGAAAGGAGGGGTGTTGACAGCTCTCCGGCTCCCTGTACTGGCAGAGCAAATTTCCAGGGTGCTTTTTTCCCCTGTCTGAACGGTTTGCCCTTTGAATGTGAAGCAGGTCCCATGGCATGACAGTTTCCATCAAGCGCTGCTAGAAATGCTTGATGGGAAGAATGTCTGCCAGAGACCTTAGACAGGCATTCCCCTTCTCTCCTTCCCCTAACCAAAGTACTTACAGACTGCCAGAGGGGCTGGGTTACAACTTTGAATGTGTTTTAGGTAGTGCAGCAGGGCTTTTAGACAACTGTGACCACCTGGCAAGCATCATAGCTCAGCCCCTGGCATGGATCTTTGAGACGTTCCGGTGCTCTGGTGAAGTGCCTGATTATTTGGAAGAAAGCCAGCGTGGTACCTATGTTCAAGAAAGGGAGGAAAGTGGATCTGGCAAACTACAGGCCCATCAGCCTCACCTCTATCCTGGGGAAGGTCTTGGAAAAGATTATTAAAGAGGCCATCCTTAACAGACTAGCTGACGGCAATATCCTGAGGGATACCCAGCATGGGTTTGTTGTGGGTAGGTCTTGTTTTACCAATCTCATTTCCTTTTACGACCAGGTGACCTATCACCTGGACAAGGGGGAAGAGATTGATGTTGTATATTTTGACTTTAAAAAAGCCTTCAATTTGGTATCCCATGATCACCTCTTGGCAAAACTGGCTAACTGAGGCCTCGACCTCACCATGATCCTCTGGCTGGGGAATTGGCTCCGTAGCAGGACCCAGGGAGTGGTGGTTGATGGAAGTCAATCATCGTGGTGCTCTGTGACCAGTGGGGTCCCTCAAGGCCCCTTGTCCATGTGCACAATCTAGTTATTGCAGGGGTCATCCTGAATTCTGTCATCTCATATTACACTAAATATGGAAAATACTGAATCGGACACCACTGAAGTTTGTATACTTTAGAAACCATTGGCAAGGCTTGGTTTTATTGCACCATCATCTTATGTAGCGGTATTAAATATTATCTAAATATATGAAATGATGATTAGATGATAATTGAATTATACTGTCTGTGTGAAGAGCCAAACCTTTGGACTTTTATACTGGACTTGTAGCTATCACATTAGTTTTTAAAATGCATCTACTTAATTGGATCGGTTGGAGCAGTGAAGTAGATGAATTTTAAAACATGATTTTGAAAAAAGCAGCTGTTTAACAAAGCCGTTGAGCAATGAAACTATATTTCCACTGTCTTTAGCATATGTGTTTCACAGCTATATTTTGTGCATTAAACCAGACATCTGCATAGTTCATGTCAGAAAATCTCTGTCTCTCCATTCCCATTTTTAAGTTTTAGGTTAGAGATGTGTTTAAAAAAAAAAAAAGAATATCTTAAAAAGATACTTATAAAAAAGTATCACCAGTATAAAAAAAAGACAACTCATTATCTAGCTGCAGGCCTAACTGTCTTTTGCTGACTGACACGTACTATCCATATGGCAGATAAAGATGGTAAATCTCATAGAATTAGGCAGTCCTGGTAAAATATGCATATTAACATCATTTATTTGAATAATTATATTCATGGACATGGAATCGTTGAGTTCATCTTCAAATGAAATATCCTGCCAGGCGGGCACTTGCCATGCTAAGAGCAGCAATCTGGGGATATATGTGTATGAGCACGTTATATGATTCACATGAATTTAGAGTCCCGACCATCCGCTCCAAGCACTTAAATTTAATTCCAAGAGCATGATCTGAATGACACAGCAGGGACCCCATCATACACTGGTTCAGAAGTCGTCGTAATGAATTGCTACACTGAACAAGGACGCTTTATCATAATTGAAATACCTCACTGTGTAGCTATATTCTTCCTTTCAGAACACTTCACTATGAAAAATATACATCCTTTATACATAAGGCCCCTCATAAAAAAGCTGATTGAGTTAACAGCTTCTAAATACAGTGTGCGCCTTCATCATAAACACATTGCAGTGGACTGACAGCATACCAGAATCGATAAAAATGGGGATTACATTTAGAAAACTGATTTGGATGCTCGTTAGCAAGGAAGGAAGATGTAGCTTATAGTAGTGTCTGCTGTTGAAAACAGCCATCCAACCAAGTATTTATTCAAGGGTGTGCCATCTGACAAAGCCTGCACTACTGGCTTGTATCAGTTTAGTCTGCAAGTCTGCATGGCGGGAGTGTTGGTCTGATGGTTGAGGCCTTAGCTTTGGACTTGGGGAGATCCAGGATTTATTCACAGCTTTCTGTGCGATTGGGACAAGTTAACTAGACTTCAGATATCCTCAAAGGATATGTTGATGCTTAACTTCTATTGATTAATTGCTCTTTGCCTCAATTCCCCATATTTAAAGGGCAGTTTCAACACTTCCATACCCACAGGAACATTGTGAGGATTGATACGTTGAATATTGTAAGGTGCTGAGGCCCTGCATCATATGGCCCCGAGGGTAGCTCTGGGAAGCAGAAATGTAAAGCTTGTTATGATCCTTTCTCCTTTTGCTTTGCCGCCTGGTGTTCGATTGATTGAACTGGATTGCTGCCCTGGTGTACCTGCCAGTGCTGCAGAATAGATCTGTGGTGTTTCCCACATCGCTTTTGAAAGCAGACACTCTTCCTGGCCAGTAATTAAAGGAAATAATCTGCAAACAGGAGAATAGAGATCTTCTTCTTCTTTAGATATTTGCTGTCCTTGCAGGCACACAGCAAGCCAGGCACCTTCTTGCATTTATCTTTTTAATGGAAAAACCCGTGGCACAGTTTGAGGGCCTCATACAGTGTTCTGGAGAAATCGTCAATCAGAAGCCAAACATCCATGCATCTTTCTCCACTGTGGTCTGTGCTGTGTTACTACCTCTCTGGTCATTAACAGGGATAAAGGGTTGTCTTAGGATATTGGTTTCTACCTTCAGTTTGTTTGTATTTGGCAACCAGTTGTGTAACGAGAAGTTCTGCAGTTGATACAGGGGTAGCCTGGTCTAGCTCAGTATGGCTTTTATGACCTTGCTGCTGACATATTTATTATATGCACTAAGGCTGTGCAAAACAGCAGCGCTCCATTTCAACTTGTCTTTTGATGGAGCAGTATTTTGTTTCGAATTTCATTTCGATTGGAAACCGCTGTTCCATTTCATTTTGTCGAAACAGTGATGCTGTTTCAACACTTTTTCAACATTTCGCCCATAGGCTATAATGAGGAAGCTTGAAACAGCTTCTCTTATCCAGCAGGCAGATAAGGGGCCCGCAACCCCAGAAGGGGCGCGGGGGCTGTGGGCCCCTGATCAACCTGCCGGATGAGGGAGGGAAGTCTGTTGCTGCCACCTGGGACCTGCACCAGCACGCCACCGGTCCTAGGCAGTAGCAGCCGGCTTCTCTCATTTGCCAGGCAGATCGGGGGCTGCAACCCTGGGAGGGCTGCGGGGGTGTGCTATCGGGCTCAGCTTCCTTTCCCAGCCTGATTGAGCTGAGGAAGGGAACTGAGGAAGGAAACTGAGCCCCATCGCTGAGCTGGGCTGAGTTCCCTTCCCCAGCCCAATTGTAGCACTGGGGAGGGGAACTCAGCTGGGCTGCTCTGAAACTCAAAACTTTTGAAACGCTTCAACTGCCCTCATTTTGTTTCGAGGTTGTTTCAAAGCCCTTTGTTTCAACTCATTTCGAGCTCGAAACAGCGAAACCAAAATGAAACGGTCTCGAAACGAAACAGCCTGTGAAATTTCGCACAGCCCTAATACGCACATGATAGTGGTCTTGCAGATGTAGGAGCGTTTGGGTTAGTTTCAGATTTTGTGCTGCCTGATGAGATTATGCCTGTAATGTAACTTCTCTGTTGGCAGGTAATTGGAAAAGATGACGTGGCCGTGCCATCACACCTCTACAAGGTGATCCTTGCCCGACGAAGCAAAACGTCAGCGGAGCCCCTTGTGCTGGGAGCCTTTGTGGTGCCCAACAACCCCATAGGCTTCAGTCACCAGCTGCCTGAATACCAAGTTAACATCGAAGACCTGGAGAAAATGTCAGGACTGGTTTTCTTTCCACAGGTAGACAAAACTAAGGATGTTAAAAATCTCTGTGATGTGGACACCTGTAAGCTAATAGGGTTTAAGGAGTTCACGTTGTACCTTACTGGCCGAAAAGTGCAGAGTGCCAGAACGCTGCACAGGCTGGAAAAGGCCATGTCAGAGTTAAGGGAATCGGGAGTTGAGCCTGACGAATATCTAATGAGGGTCTACAAGAAGAAGGAAGAGGAACTCGCTCAGCAAGAGCCGCGGGAAGCTAGAGAAAGGAAGACTGGCTGAATGTTTGTCTCAGAAAACCGCTTGAGAATATGTTCTCCCCGAGCTGTACATCTGTGCGTGCACGCTCCTTTCGCATTTTGGGCCTTGGCTGTTCAAAGAAATTGTCAAAACAATTGCGAGAGAATGAAAATTGATGGATTTGGGGGGATAATGTTCATTCATTCTCCTGTAATATGATGCAGGTATGACTTGCTAAAGTACTTTTGCTATGAGAAGTGAAAGTGACCCCTTCGCAGCATGCTAAGAGACCTCTAGAAAAGGCGGCGGTGTACTATTTTCTAAAGCCAACGTCAGACTTGGGTTTTGAACGGAATCTCTTCTAGGAACGTTATAAAAATAGACAGTGGACACCTTGGTAGTATAACTGGAACATGTCTAAATGTAACTCACCCTGTAGATGTCTTTGAAAATGATGCGGTGGAAGCAATGGTATTATTATGGGGGCTGGTTGATGAAAGAAATACAGAATGGTGTGGGATTTTATTGGCATGTTTTCTTTTGTCTTTTTTTAAGTGTCCAGTAACCGATACCTAACCTAACCTCTGTTCATTTGTTTTCCTCCTGCAGTTGTATTTGGGATTTTAAAATCTCTCTCTTCTCCACATGCTCATATACTTTTAAATGAGTTTCACTGAATTACGCATTCCTGACAAAGAGCAATAGTTCCTTTTCCTTTTGGAAAGGGCTTTTTCTTACAACACAATGGTTTTAGGGAATCCTAACTTACACTAGCTGTCCAGTGGTATTGGTATTACAGTTGTGCTCTTCTCACTCATTGTGAGACGATTAAAAAAAAAAAGTCAGAGGCAGTAAATTGTGGCAGTGATGTTAGCAACACGAGTTAACAAAAAATGAAAAAAATTAAGAAAATATGATTTAGGTGCTATCATTATGTTTGGGTTTTGCTGTATTTCATTCAGCTTGGGCCATGAATGATGCATTTTGATTGAGTTTGTAGTCACTTAGTGACTGTAACACACTTGTTCAGTACTGCAACATCTGAGCTGTTATCTACAGGGAAACTTTTAAAATCAAACGATTATTTGTTGACAGTAATTTTTAAAAAGTAATAGAATCTTTACTTTTTATGTTACAGTATTTTTATTCTGCAAATCCTAACTTTCAGGCATAAATTAATGGAGCCTTTGTTCATTGAACTTCTTGTATCTGGACTAAGGTGGCAAAGAAAGCAAACAGCAAAACTGACCATGTTTTTAGATTTGGAATGATACAGTCCTTGGGTTACAAATTCGTAGCAATACTCCCTCCAGTTTACAGATGAGAAGACTGAGGGACTAATCAAAGATGGGTCTTGCGCTCACGTTGGGTCATATTGCATTAGGTGATTACCAAAAGCAGGGAGAAGCTGATTCAGGAATATTACGCCAACCAGGCTTAGTCTTGTGCTATAATAACACCTGGCTTACAGTACCTTTCATGTAGATAGTGCATTTTACCAGCCAGTGTCAAACTCTTCATAAGCAGACTGCTTTATTTAAAAGCAGTTAAGGTTGCCGTGACAACCTTATATTTACCTACCTACCTCATTATTTATAGGAGCCAAGACTTAAAAGCAAGGAATTATTAGATAGTGAGGGTCATTGTAAACCTTACTGCCCACGTCACACAAGCAAAGGGCAAAATCCCGATAAACGTGCCAGTGGATTAGGATGTCATATGTTCATCTTCTCCAGTTTGGAAAAAAAGCACAGTACTCTAGAGCACAGCAAGCCACGTCGTGCAGCTCCTGCTAACAGAGGCAGCAGAGGGGCTGGCTCCTGGGACGTGTGCTGCAAAGTGTCATGGGCAAGGAGCTAGGACTAGAGATGGACTCACACTTGTGTGGTGGCTTCTCAGGGCGGGACGGGTCTTGCCGTCAGCAGGTAGCCAAGGACTTCACAATTGCCCAGTGTGGAGCTGGTGGAAGCAGCTGGCTCCCCCCATCTTGACAGATGGTCACAATTTGTGTTTGCCTGGTTGCAAAAGGACACACCCTGTATATCTAACAGGTGGTGATCATTGTGGTGGGAGGCAAGGCTGCTGTTTTGCTGGATCCAGATTCCAGTTGCTTATTATCCACCCCTCCCAGGCAGGTGCATCAAGTGATGGGAGACAGAGTATGGTGTAACTCTTCACGAGGAGGCCGATAAACTAACCCCCTGCCTCCTCACTGGTCTGTTAAAACTATATTCTACCTCAGCCTCACAGGCAGGACATTACATGGCAGCAGGGAGTCCTTTCATTGCCCAGGGCCTCTTTTCTGTCCTCTAAGTCAGTGGTTCTCAATCTTTTTTCCTACCAGGACCTATTTGCAAAGAACCATGGCCTGTCCTGACCCACATCCCCCTGACCCTGCTGGTGTCCCTCACTCCTGACCTGCAGCCCCCCCGTCCCCCCAGCTACCCCCATTCTGCTTGGGCCAGAGCGCGAGCAGCGAGTACTACCCCTGTCCCAACTCTGCCGAGCAGCAAGTATGAGCGCTGACCCTGTACTACGGGTCCAGGCACACAACTCCCAGCTGCAAAGGACCACCCCTGCCCCCTTTTCCCGATGAAGAGCCAGGTGCCTTCTCCCCCTGCCCTGCCACAGCCCCGTGCCCGACCACTTCCCAGCACCGGCATGCGTGCACAGCACCTCCCACCCCACAAGACAGTTCCCCTGGACCTCCGGCCTCCGCTCCTCATACACTTACCTGCATCCCGTGGTGGGACCTGCTCCAATGACCCAACCTCACTGTATGCTGTCCACGTGGGGCTGCATGCACAGACACACGTGCCCATTGTCTCCAATCGTGCCAAGCAGCCCCTTGCAGGCTGGAACACTGCCAGCTTGGAAGGGGAAACCCATGCTTTTGCATCGTTTTCTGGGACTTGCTCGTGACCCTTTCAAATATTGCAACCCACATTTGGGGCGCGACCCACCGGTTGAGAAACACTGCTCTATGTTAAAACTCTTGCCAGTGTAACATTTTAGCAGCAAGCAATAGCATAAAGCCATGACCCTTTCCTTTGGAGGCAGGCATCTTTGAGCAGATGCTCCTTAGTTCAGCATCTATTCTAGGCTGATATGCACTCCTGAATTCCTATAGGGCCTGATTAGCATTATTTTTCACCCCAACTGCCTTGCCATGTGGTGTATATGCCTGTGATTTTTTTTTCAGCTCCATTTGAGTGTGGTCATTCTGCTTTGTCTCCCCTTACAAGACTGTAGCAGGTGCAACCATCAAGCCCTTGGCAAATGGTTAAAAAAAATCATTGTTTGTCCCAGGAAAAACACATCCAGGTACAATTATAATCAGATGCACTTACTGTGCTGATTTCACAGTTTGAGGTAATAATTTTGGAGACTGTTTTATAACAAAACTAATTTATCCCCTCTTGCTGTAATGAGGCTTTCTAAGAGAAACAGAAAAATACAGCACTAAAAATGGCATCTATTCCCCCCCCAAACAAATTACTTCTGGATATTCTCTGAGCTACCTACATGTTGCTTCAACATGCCATACATTAAGCACTAGTGCCTCAGCTATATTATTTTCTGTATCATTTTCATCCCTCATCTGTCCTTTTGTTTTGCAGACGTGACCATATGACACATGGATGTATGCTTGTTATTTCTTTGGGTAAATTTACACCATATTTATAGCAGTGGGGAGTTGTACGGTGTGTATCTGCTCCTTGCTTATTCCAGGAACGTAGACAAGCCCTAAGTGTGGTAAGAGCCACTGCTGGCAAATGCTAGGACCTGCGTGCTGTGCGTGTCGGCATGTTGAGCTCTAAAGCTGTGTAAAAGAATTGTGACATCATGACATCTCTACCCCTCTCTTTTTCTGCTGTTCTCCAGCATTCGTACGAGATTTGATTCAGAACATAGGAGTTGGTAAGCAGTGGTTCAAATACTGAGGAATACATGCTATTCTCTACTGGTTTAAGCAGTGCACTTTCTAATAATAACTGACGTGAATCTGGATCCAGCAATACAGCAGCCTTGCCTCCCACCACTATGATCCCACCTGTTAAATATACAAGGTTTGTGTCCTTTTAAGTAGATGCATTTCTACTTAGTTGGGGGGGGGGTGTCTGTGTGTGTGTGTGTTTGCACGCTGCAACTCACCATCTTCTGTGTATAATGTAAATGCAGGTCTGGTGTTTGGCCATTTGGGGGCAGTCAAAACCTACAACATACTCGGCTGCTGTGTAGCCAGGACCACATGAACTTCAGGAGCCTGAATGTTTGGGGCTACAAGCGGCATAGTCCTAAAACTGCCTTTCCTGCTTATAATGTTGCTATACATGTTTTTATGAATTAGTGTTACATTTACTGTATTAGACAGTAGTGCAAAATGCAAGCCAGTGACTTTCCTAGCTTTTTTTTGTGGATGGGGCATTGAGATGGCAGGGATGAAGCAACATACCTGCATTAGATTTACCAGCAAGGTTGGTTCTTCATTTTTTATATCTTGTGCTAAGCCGACTTCAAGTCCAGCTTCTTTACGGGTGTAATTGCAGCTGAGTATGTAACACACTATAAATGATGCAGATATTTTATAATACCATTAAATTGTACTTATGAATACTGTAGACTTGCAAATGTTTTGAAACTGGGTTTTGATTTGTTTGTATAGCCATTAGTTGGGTTTGGTATTAGGATATCCCAGTTGTTACAGAACCACCTGGAGGCCTATTTTGCTGAGTCCTGTACGGGCATGAACACGCTGTCGGGCAGGTCCTACCTTGCAGAGCTCGTTATCTTTAAGAGGCAAGGCAAGCAAAGAACAGGAAGATGTGAAGAGCTGGATCCGCAGAAGGTACTTGCCACACCTAACTTTCAGGTGCCCCGTCTCATTGGGCACCTGACGCATGGAGAGTGGTGCCTAAGAAGGAAATGCATAGCTAGCAGGCTGAGCAGGGAGCAAAGCTAGCCAGTAGCAAATGCTGAGAAGAGTAGACAGCCTCTCCTGGAGGTAGCCATCTAGGCCAGTCCTTTTTCATAGAACTCACCTTTCCTCCCCTGCTGCCCTAACCCTCTGTTTCCTCTTATCGGCTTATGCAGGTGATTAGGGTGGTCACTGGGAGGGTGGTTTTTTGGCTCCCTGCTCTGTGTGATTTCGAGTAGGTACTCAAAACCCAACTTCTATCTCAGGTGGAGAGTAGCACTGCCAGGCTGCTGGGCATTCAGAGGACTGGGCACCTCAATTACTGGGGTTCAAGCTGCTCCACGAACGGACCAAACAAACTTACTCGCAGTTAGACTTGTCACCTAAGGGACTAGAATATGTGGGTTCAAATTGCAGCTCTGAATCAGAAAACGGGAGAGGTAAAAACTGGTTTGCCTCTCAGAGGTAAATGCCCTGGCCCCTGAGCTATTGCAGCAATGGGACGTGGACACCAGGCCAGCCCTGACAAGCCTTTTGTGCAACGCCCAAGCCATTAGTTGTGCTCTGGAAACACTACTGAATTAAGTAGGTTGAAATAGTACCCAGGTGGTTAGTGTGTTAAGTGCTTCATAAGCAACCCAACACCCTGTCCACCCGGGTACGAGCTCCCCTGCCACTTATGGATTAAACTAAACAGGATTTGCTCTGGAGCTGGACGCTTTAATGCCACACTCTATAAGATGGCTTAAAGGACAGTGCAATATGTGAGTGTGGCAATGCACCAGAGACCGGTCACCACCTCCTCACGTGTGCAGCATACCCGCGCACCCACAGTGAGGACCTGGCAAGTTTAATCCGTAAAGCAGTTGTGTGGCTCCGCCACGTTAATGATGTGTAGAGGGGGAATGAAGTATATGAGAGAAGACGACGACTGAATTGGGTCTCACGAGCAGGAGAACCGGGGGTGGGGGGCCGCGTACTTGGCATTAGCTCTCCAAGTACTGCAGTGAGGTCAGGGCTTAGGTGGGTCTTCACATGCCCACCAGCAGCTGCTTCATCAGCTTGAGCATTTCACCAGCCAAACACTGATCCGTGAGGACTTGCAGTGCCTACGAGGTGAGGTGCAGCTGAGCGGAGGTTATGAGACTCCAAGTGACAGCCAAATGTTGGAGTTGAGTCATGTGTGCTGCCCTCCACCCTCTTGTTGCGGACAAGGGAGATGCAGTTGTGGCGTTCAGCTGTTTGGGGGGCAGTCAACACGGATGATGGAGTTGGCTGCTCTGTTTCCAGTAGCGCACCAGCCTGAGCGTTCACTTGGGGCTACAAGCAGACTATTGCTTCCACCCTGTTGGACTGGCTTCAGTGCCAAGGGGCAAAGATAGATGTTGGTTTTACCGCCTTGCCTTCAGTTGCTTGAACCTGGGGTTACCATATTTCCAGTTGAAAAAAAAGATGATGGGGGCAGTGATATGCTGGTGCCCTGCCCCCACCCAGGCTGGTGCCCCTCACTCCCAGGCCATAGCCCCCAGCAGCCTTGCTGCTGCCCCTCACTCCTGATCCACAATACCCCCTGGCCATGCTGGTGCCCCTCATTCCCAATCCACAGCCCCCCATCCCTGCTGGCTCCACTCCCAACCCACAGCCCCCTGGCACTGCCAGTGCCCCACCCAAGCCAAAGCCCCTCCAGCCCTGCTGGTGTTCCTTGCTCCCAACCCACAGCCTCCTGCTCCCCCCAGCCCTGCAGCATCTCCCAGCCACCCCACCCCTGCAAGCAAGGGCACTGGCCCTGGTGCCACTGGTCCAGCCACGCAGGTCCCCTGTAGGCCCCCGCCTCCTTCCCCCATTGGAGGGGCAGGTGCCTCCTTCCCCCCTCGTCCCCCCTTCCCTGTTGCAGCATTAGTGCCCGGCCACCCCCTGCCACCCCCCACCCCTCAGACAGTCCCCAAGCCCTGGCCCTTCAACCCCCACTCCACATAGCCTTACCTGCATCCAGCTGCTGGTGCTGCTCTTACCACCCTGCCTGGCTGCATCATGGCAGTGTTGAGCAAACCAAAATGCAACGTTGAGCAGACCAGGCATTTGTTCATATTTGAAAAAACCCACCTGGATGGAGATTGGAGGACCCAAAAAGAGGACGTATTCGGGAAAACCCGGATGTATGGTAACCCTGCCTGGACCCCAGGATGGAATCCAAAACTGAGCGAGGTGCCTGGTTTCCCTCTCCAGTGCACCCCACCGCCTTCCCCCTCCAGCCCTGTTTCTAAATGCAAGTGGATGTGGTGTCTTTGCTTTTTTGTTGAGCTCAGTGCTGCCTGCTTTAGCCCCATCCTGTGTGCTTACCAGCCCGGGCAGACGAGCATGCTGCTCGAGATCCTGGGTCTGGAGTACAATTTTGGACATATGTACTTGAGTCCTTCCTTGGAGCTGGCCCTGCCTTTCCCCATGTAAGTAGGCATAGCATACCACGTTGAGTCAGTTCTGCCTTCCCTGGTGCGTGTTGCCTGGCAGTGAAGCTGTGTAGAAATTTATATATAACCCCAAAGTGCTCTGCAGGTGACCTGACTCAGCGGGGAAATGAGGAGCAATTTTGCTGTTATTTTGGAATTGTCTTCTGCCGTTGCATAAGAGAAGCTTTTCTCACCACGCAGCAAAGCAGCTCAGCAATCAGCAGGGATGGAGGAAATGCTCGTTTCTCTGATTCAGGTCTATCTAATCAGCCCCACATATACAGGTTTGGAGGAGCCTGTACATGGATTCCCTAATAGCCATCTGCCCATGCAATTAGCAGACTATCTGCTCCTGCTGGAAGGCACAGGAAAACACTGAATAATGGTTCAGAGTCTTTGCCTAAAAATACCATCCGGTGGCTTTGGGTGCGCTGAATCAGGTACTCAGACCTGCCTGTAAATAGAGCCCAGCTTTTCCATGCAGGGTACCACTGCTGCACCAGCAGGCATTTCCATCGTGCCCTTCAACCAGTTGTATCAAGGCGCTTCCCTGCCTGCCGAGGTAAAATTAGCAGCGGTTGTAACATAACAGTCCCCAAATAATCACTTAGTGGGGGCGGGTGGTGAGAGAAAAAGCTGAATGAAACAACTTTGTGTTAGTTGGAGAGGCCCACGGTTGGGGGGGGGGGAGAGTGGCAAATGGATCTGGAACGACATGCATCAAACGCTAGCTAAGAAGCAGGCTGGAGGTTACTCTCCAGTCGCAGAGAGGAACAGGCCTGTGTGAAGACTAAATAATTGCCAAAGCAGGGAGAAGTAAAGGCTCAGGCAAACTTCTGCTAGCAACTCTCAAAGCACTGCAGCCAGCTTGGGCTCCATGACTGGTGCACGGGACAAGTTAAATGGGCCCAGTTGCCCCCCTCCCAGGACTGTTCACCACCTTGAAGCCCCTTTCACTGCCTGTGCAGCCACATCCAGCTGGAGTCAAACATCTGGAATCCGATTGCCAGCTACCAGCCAGGTTGGCTCAGCGCAGACCTGCCGCCGCATTGAGCTGTCCCTGGACACCTGCACAGCCGGGATCGCATAGCAGACGTGGTTGCAAAAACATGTCTTTACTTCGTGAGAGTAAGAAGCACGTCAGTTCACTAATCCATGTCCCCAGCTGGTATTAAATGGCCGTAGCTCCAGGGAAGCTCCAGTGATCACCAGGGAAAGTTCTGCCCGGTGCCTGGCAGGTGGGGACTCTGCGAGGGCAATGCCCTGCAGGAAGAGAGTTTAACTGAGGGGGAAAAATCAGCTCTATCAGAGTAAAATCAGAGCTGTGCTCCAGCTGCAAAGCTGAAATCCAGCTAAGATTGTTCCCTGTCACTATGGCCCGAGGGGGGCATATAGACATGGGTATGGAGGAAGTCTACCTAAGATTCCTACCTCTGTCTCTGCAGCAGCTGGTTTGAACCCAGAACAGCATCCCTGCCTTATTTCCAGGCTTGGCACAGGTACACGAGAGTGACATACTGCCTCCCCAATCCCGGGAGTGTCCAGAAGTGGTGGAGACATGCTGTGTGGTGCACTGGGCTGGGGGACAGAAGCACTTAGCACTTAGTCATATTTCCTCCGCCACGGATTTGCTGTACGACCTTGACACACACCTTGCTAGGGTTATTTGGCCCCAGCAGTCTTTCCTGCCCAGAGCAGGGGTGGGGGCTGGATGTGATGACCTCTCAAGGTCCCTTCCAGCCCTGAACTGTGACTGTAAATCACTGACATCTCTGCTCAGTCTGTTTGAAAGAAACCTTTTCCCTTTCTTAGGAAGCAAGCTGTGCCTGTGAAGTCTCTCTGAGGAGCCCACTGGGAGCTTCCTACAAGAAACTGCTGTAAATTCAGCATCTTCAGTGGCACGTCCCCTGTTTCACACAGGTGTAGCGTAGTGGCTGGGAAAACATATGCCCAACTGGCACGCGGCAGCTGGCGCTATAAGCTTCAAGCTTGGTTTCTGACTATGCAAGAACACGGCAACATGCAAACCAAGCTCATAACTTGAGTGTGAAAAGCAGCGTGCTAAAAGCCTGGCTTAGCCCATAGTAGTGCTAGAGCACAGGAAGGGAAACCCCAACTCCTCATCCATCCCCTGTTCTAGACTAAAAAGCAACATCGTTCAGAGCTGGCTAAAAGATCTTCTGCAGGTGTGAGAGCTCTCTGCTGGGTCGTGGACAGAGTCAGCAAGGGACAGAAGACAGTCTCTGTATTGAGCTACAAGGCCAGCATGGGGAAGAGACCATAGGAAGTGCTGTACGTGTCAGCCCACTGGCCCTCCTAGGCCACTACCCTGGCCCGTGTTCTCACGACACCGTTTCTCCTATCCTGTAGTTCTGTGGGTTGGATGTGAGGCTGCTGACTTCTACCTGATCAGCTTTGAGGCCTTAGGTGAATGTCCCCCCTCTGCAAGTGTAGCCTGCTCGGTATGAGCCTGAACCTGTTACCTGTCATCAGGTCCACTCACGCCGCGCATGCTTGATGCCCAGCCACCGTGTACCCCACCCACACAGCGGTGCCTGGCTCCCTGCAGTGCTGGGCCACAGGGTAGTTTGTGTGTCTGCTATAGCCAGTGACTGATTTTGGTTACCTTTAGTGCCATAGCATCATAGAGCAGCAGGGCTGGAAGCATTGACAACTGGTGCCTCCTGACCCCTTTGGCAGGTGCCGCTGCCCTTCCCTGAGCAGTGCAGCGTGGATGGGGCAGCCCAGGGGCACCGCTCTGCCTGGAGCACTTTTGGGAGCCAGTCTTGAGGTGGGGCACATGCCCCTCCCACCCCCCCACCCCAGTTGCCTAGGGCTGGAAGGACCCTCCAGAAGTGGCTCAAAGAGGTGCTGTGGCTTAGTTGGTTAAAGCGCTTGTCTAGTAAACAGGAGATCATGGGTTCAAATCCCAGCTAGTGCCTTGAAGTTTCATTTTTGAACAGGGACTGGAAACAGGGGACACAGTTTGCCGGCAGGTGCTGGAGGAAGGAGGAGAAAAGCCAGGCACCTGATCCTGCCCAGGGAAGGTAAGTGATCCAGCTCCCTGTGCCTTTTGGTTTTGCTGAATGTTAGTTTGGTGGGCTGTGTGTGTTTGGGGCATGTGCTCTGAGACGCTGGGAGTCTTGGCTTAATTGGGATATCACGGTCCTCTTGAAAAAGAAGAAAGAGGCTTACAGACAAGTTGTATGTAAGTTGTATGTAAGTTGGAAGCTGGGGATAGTCCCCAAGGAGGACTATACAGCAATGGCCTGCACTTGTAGGGAGCAGATTAGAAAAGCTAAGGTGGCGACTGAATTTAAACTAGCAACAGAAATCAAGGACAGTAAGAAGTCCTTTAGGTATGTAGGGAACAGGAGGAAAACAAATGGATGTGTGGGGCCATTGCTTAACAACTCAGGACAGCTGGTTACCGACACGCAGGAGAAAACTCAACTCCTGAATGACAACTTTGCTTCGGTATTTCACTGGACTAAGGGGAAAATCATGCTAGATAAGGTTCAGACTGCGGTGGGAATGACTGTCTTCCTACTGTTGATGCTGAGCTGGTGCATGATCAGTTAGAAAAGGTAGACATTTATAAGTCAGCAGGACTGGATGAACTTCACCCGAGAGTGCTGAAGGAGCTGGCCAAAGTCATCGCGGGACCTCTGGCGAAACTCTTCCCAAACTCGTGGCTCTCGGGGGAGGTCCCTGAAGACTGGAAGAGGGCCAATGTTGTGCCCATCTTCAAGAAGGGGAGGAGAGAAGACCCAGGCAACTATAGGCCAATTAGCTTAACTTTTATCCCAGGGAAAATCCTGGAAAAATTAATCAAGGAGTCTATGTGCAATACACTTGCAGAAGGGAGGATCCTGAGTGACAGCCAGCATGGCCTTGTCATGGGCAGATCTTGATTTACCTATCTCATCTCCTTTTATGAACAGGTAACTCGCCACCTGGATAAGAGAGAGGAGGTCGACATTGTATACCTAGACTTCCAAAAGGACTTTGATCTGGTATCCCATGATGTTCTTACGGGAAAATTGGAGGCTTGCGGGCTTAACTGCTCTACAGGTGGGTAGGAAGCTGGCTGTGGGGGTAGGACCCAGAGAGCATTATTGAACAGATCTGTGTCATCCTGGCAAGAAGTGGCCAGAGGTGTGCCTCAGGGGGCCGGTGCTTGGTCCAGTGCTTTTCAACATCTTTATCAATGGTTTGGATGTGGGGATGAACAGCTCACTGGCGAAGTTCGTGGACGAGACCAAGTTATGGGGGAGCGTGGTCACGCTTGAAGATAGGCTGCAGATACAGGCGGACCTAGACAGGTTGGCAAGTTGGGCAGCTCAGAACCAGGTGAAGTTCAACACTGAGACATGCAAAGTGCTCCATTTGGGGACAAACAGTCCCCAACATACAGGCTTGGTGGTGCCAAACTGACTAGCACCACGACTGAAAGGGATCTAGGGATAATAATATAGATTGCCTTCAATTTCTGTGGTACATGCATTCTGGGAGAATGGAGTATAAATCAAATTTGCATAAAGCAAACCCAGCTTGCAATGGAACAGAGAGGAATATGTTCCCACGGCGGGGAGGGAGTAAGGCTGGGATTAGGGGAGGGGTGCGGCGCAGCCCGTTGGCAGCTCCCGGGGATGCAGCAGGCAGCAAAGCAGTGCCTAAGACATCTCAGCACTTCTTAAAACCAGGGCGAGCAAATCCCACCTGTCCAGGCCCTCAACTGGTGTTTAAGCACTGATGAGGGAAGACAGAACCGACTCCCAGACAGCCAGGACCTCACGGACCCCAGGAGAACAGGGCAGGGCTTGTTATCTGTGGGGTATGTAGGCACTGCTTGCAGTTTCTGGAAGCCAGTGGCGTGCAAACACTGTAATACCAGCCAGATCCTACCAGGAGATTTATGAGCCCGGCAGTATGTTTCCCCAGCAGCACCTGGCATGTCTACAAAGTGCCAAAGGGCTATGCTTAGACATGCCAGGCCTGCCAGCTCCCGACCTGGGAGCAGTGCAATCACAGTAGTGTGGCACTGAGGGTGGGCCGTTAGCTCGCATGGCTGGCAGAGCAGCTTTGAGGACAGCCCGGCCATTGGGGTCCAGATTCTCCTCTCGTGTCAACTTGGGGGTCTCCGCGCTCCAGATGTTACTGTTAATGTAAAAGGCACAGCTATGGGAGGCTTTCATACAGTGGGTGAGCTGAGGACTGAAGGCATAATCCACTGAGCAGCTTGATTTTTTTGTCCTCATACTATAGCTACAAGGAATGCAGGGGATTTTTACATTAGTTTTGCTTTATTGGAGATTGTGGGGAGTGGAGGGGAAATCACACGGGAACCAAGAAAGCTGTCTGCTGCCCCTAAGGCACAGCAACCACTCACCTGGCTTGTGCTGTAACCTTGTCATGTAGTGACAGGGCTCTCCTAGGCAAAGTCACCCGTGCTTCTGGGTGTCTGAGACATGAGTTGCTGGGCAGGCAGGGTTGCTGGCATGGAAGAAATGTGACGCTACAGACAGCAGGACCCTGCCCTGTTCTCCCGGGGGTCCCTGAGGTCCTGGTCTGTCTTCCCTCATCCATGCTTAAACACCTGTTGAGGGCCTGGAGTACAGGCCTGGAAAGGTGGGATTTGCTCACCCTGGCTGGAAGAGGTGCTGAGATGTCTTAGGCACACAACTTTCCCTGGCTTCTCCTGCAGGGTGCACAGCTGCTGTGGCCTGGTGTCCTGCCACTGTTTGGTGGAACTGGGGCTGATTCCCACGGTTCCCACTGAGAAACTTTTTCAAAAGCACCATGTGGGCCAACCGAGGAGCCAAGGGCTAGAGTCAGAAAAGATCCAGGTGCCCAAGTCCAAACCTGTTTCATAGTTTCTAGGGTCGGAAGGGACCTGGGCAGATCATCTAGTCCGACCCCCT